TTCAAAGCTGCAGGAAAGGAAAATTTGGTTTGTAAGCTGAAGAAGTCTCTTTATGGTTTGAAGCAGTCACCAAGACAGTGGTATAAGAGATTCGACGGCTTTATGATTGGCCGAGGGTACACAAGGAGCCCATATGACCCATGTGTTTATATGCACAAGCTACAGGATGGTGAGCTCATATATTTGCTTTTATATGTTGATGATATGCTTATTGCTTCCAGGAATTCTTCAGCTATTCGAAAGCTGAAAGAGGAGTTATCATCCGAGTTTGAGATGAAGGATCTTGGAGAGGCAAAGAAGATATTGGGTATGGAGATCGAGCGAGACAGGGTGAAGGGGAAATTGAAGCTTACACAGAAGAGCTACTTGCAGAAGATGTTGAAGAAATTCAGCTTTGATGGCAATGCAAAAGCAGTTAGCACACCATTGGCTCCCCACTTCAAGCTTTCAGCGTTGATGTCACCTGTTTCAGTTGAGGACAGAGATTATATGTCGAAGGTCCCATATGCTAGTGCAGTAGGTAGCTTGATGTATGCGATGGTGTGTACGAGGCCAGATTTGTCACAGGCCGTGAGCATGGTATCGAGATACATGCATGACCCCGGGAAGGGTCACTGGGAGGCCGTGAAGTGGATTCTACGGTATGTTCGAGGCACCGTGGATGTTGGTTTAGTGTTTCAGAAGGATGAGAAGGACGGGCAGGCTTGTATTGGTTATGTGGATTCAGATTATGCTGGAGATCTTGACAAACGCCGGTCTACGTCAGGTTATGCTTTTACATTGGCAGGTGCACCTGTATGTTGGCGTTGCACGCTTCAGTCCACAGTGGCTCTCTCTACTACAGAGGCAGAGTATATGGCAGTTACTGAAGCTATTAAGGAGGCTTTATGGTTGCGTGGATTATTGGAGGACTTGGGGATTGCACAGGAGACTATTCGGATATATTGTGATAGTATGTCGGCTATCTATTTGGCAAAGAACCAGGTTTATCATGCGCGCACAAAGCACATCGATGTCAGATTCCACTTTGTACGGGACGTCTTGAATGATGGAGATGTCATATTGGAGAAGGTCCACACAAATGACAACCCTGCAGATATGTTGACCAAAGTTGTTTCAGGAGTGAAATTTGGTCATTGTTTGAAGTTGTTGAACATCCTTCAGTGCTGAGGCCGTTGGCGGCCATTTGGGTGAACTACGTTCGGCTTGATTCCTTGGGCAAGAGGATACGTAGGCAGTCTTTAGATGCAGCCGGTTTGATCAGTTGATCAAGATGGGGGGAGATCGTGTTTCAGCTCGAGTATTGTTCCTGGACCTGTTGAGGAACTATTGGATGGTTTGGTGTCGGCTCAGTTTTGGTGGAAACATTCGCCGAGGTGGAGAATTGAAGGAATTTCAGCATCAGCAGCAGAATCAGGAAAAACAGGCGGCGGTCGACCGGTCCGGTCGACCGCATTCGTGCACAAAGCTTACTGTGCGTCAGGAAGGTGGTCGGTCGACCGGTGCGGTCGACCGAGGGGTTCTCTGGAGTTTGGGTTTTCTACTGAGAGCTGGTCGGTCGACCGGGCCGGTCGACCGGAATTGATCGCGGTCGACCGGTCCGGTCGACCGACGCTGTTTTGGGCTGGGCTTTCAGGTTTTCGACCCGATTCGTTTTGTAAGTTCTATATATACCTAAACCTGTTTGTTTAGGGTAGACGTTGGACGAATTTGAGCAGCCAAAGAGAGAGAATCATTGCATCCAATTGTGAGAGAGCTTTGAGAGATCTAGAGTTTTGTTTTAGGATTTGGTCTGAGAGATTTGTAACCCTATTTGTATTCTCTTGATTTCTAGTAGAAAGAACTCCCCCCTCCTTGCCCCGTGGACGTAGGCAACTTGCCGAACCACGTAAATTGTGTGTTCTTGCTGTGATTGTGGTTTGCATATTGTTTGTGGTTTAGTTCGAGTTATTGTTCGTGTTGTCCTAGAAAGCTTCCGCCGCGCACAACATTGTCCCCTCTATTGGTCCCATATTTTGGGTCATTGAGGAATTTTTCTAAAATCCTAATCCTTGTCCTCCAGCAATAACATTGTAAAAGTAAATCCCAAAAAATCTCTAATCCAAATAAAAGTTATGGACATAGTTATATAGTGAATTATTTAAATTCGTATCTGAAGTAAATATTAGATTATATGTTGATCATACAGTTGCAATTATTTTTATTTCTTAATTAATAGATTTGAGACTAGTTTTGATGATCAAAAGATTCATTTTTAGCTTTTTAGACATACAGAATATATTAATGAGCTCTCTTCTATTATATGAACAATGTTTTGATGTTATTTGGCTCTCACGTCCTTTTTGTATCTGTGTATATCTCCATGTATATCCGTCTCTGTATCCATGAATGTCAAGTGATCTGATAAGTAACACATAGGAGTGTTATCCCTCACGCTTCAAAAGCTTTCCTTAAATTAACTTAAACAACTCTTCTGACTTTTATGACGTTAGAATACTGATATTCTTCTATTTTCAATTATGTGGACCACCTTAATGAGCAGGAATCGTATCAGAGCATCCTTCATTGTGCAGAGCGTTCTGAGCCAAGTGTTTAAGAGCCCTGTGGTGGGATTCTGGTAGAATCCCTAAATTATGCATGCGGACTACTGGTAATAATTTTATCTTTTTTCCCTCTAAATTTGTAGTAAATATTAAAAAGACTAATTAGTAGCACGAGGAACATTTATACAGTACACTGAGGCTTTTTGTTAAGATTAGTTAAATCACTCATATGATTGGATTAATCAGATTGGTTTAAGTAGTAGTTGATCATGTTGGCGTTTTATGACCGTTAGTTATGCTTAAGTGTTCACTAATATTATAATTAGCATTGTCCAACTAAGTTATAGACTATGTATAATTCTCTGATTTTAAAATAACATACTATATATTATTCTAAAATGGCAAAATTGGAAATGAGTTGACAATCCATTTAAGAAAATGAACCGCCAATAGATAGGGGCTTTTGTGAGTTTTCCTACTACTCACATCAGTGCAATGCGTGTTGCTCATAAGTTAGTGACTTTGTATCTCATTTTCTAAATAGATTGTCAACCTATAGTTAGCGTGTGTTTGTTTTTATGAAAGTGAATTGTAAAAGTGTGAAAGTGAAATGATTTTAAGACTTTTGGTGTTTGTTTTATTGAAAATAATTTTGAAAGTGAAATGTTAAAATGAGTCCACATCAGCTCAAATGCATGTTTAAGTTCCCCTAAAAAGTGCTGAAGTCAAGTGAAAGTGAGAAAAAAGTGGGGATCATTCCTAATTAATTAGTATATTTATTATTTAACTTAACTTATTTTCCCATGTTATTCGGTGGAAACAACCACCTCCCCACAAAATTTTCTTACATGCTAATTATATTATTTCTTTTATAGCATTTAATAGTTGTGTACATTGTTATGTCATGTATATAGTACGAATTAGACAATTTATGAACATGACTACACATTTTAGCGTGATTGTTGATAAGCCATTACTTTATTAAAAAAAAAAGTACATAAGTAAAAAATACAGAATACAAAGAATCTGTAAAAATTAGTACAAGTAATTGATGATATATATACCTGAGGCTTTCAATTCGTTCTTTAGTTGTTACCGGAATAATTATTAGAGTTTAGAGTGTAATATGAATTTAAATAACAAATAAATAAATAATCGCCACATCATATTTATTTTCCTAGTTCCAAGATTAATTCATTTTTACAAACAAACATTGCATTTCACTTTCATGTTGACATAAATTCACTTTCACACTTGCAAAAATAAGTGACTTTCACACATTCGAGTCACCTTCATTTAACCATACACCCCCCCATAGCGTCATCTTCCAAATTTACAATTACTTGTACATTATGAGTACGGATGACAGCTGGCTCGGCATAGCTTGCCTAAGACACGTGAAGCGTTCGATCAAGAGGTATTGTGTTTTCGATCTTTTTTAGCGGTTGGGGTTGGACCGTACAATCACACACTTAACAGGAAAAGTACACCTTCCTTCTTTTTCAAGAAATAAACACGTATTTTGTATGCTAGTAAAATTTTGATGTGTATGATTTATGCGGAAAAACATAAACATGTACTTTAATTTACTAACTAAAAGATGGAGGGGGGGGTGAAAATCCTTATTGCTAAACTTTAATTATAGGTTCATGCGCGTGTATTATACAACAATTAATATACACGAATCTCAACCAACATATGTGTAATGCTTAACTAAAAAAAACTCACGTCGTGTGCAAAATTATTCTCACATGTGTATTTGCAAACATATTTAAGTTCAGCTCTTACTCATTTCTTAAAAAAAAGAGCGCTCTTTAGCAACATGTTAAAAACTGACAGTTTCATTATAAATTGATTTTAGTCGAGATGAGGATTTGTCCAAATTAAAACCAGTTTACAGAGTTCTTTCGGGCCTACAAAAAATTAAACAGTATTAATTCGAGTCTTCGCCGAAATAAAAAAAGCATATAAAACAGGATCATGTTCGGCCGTGACGTTGATTATTAACCTCAATTATTCCATATCGAGTCAGTACATGCTCAATAATTAAGTGAAAAGGATCCTACTCCTGTAGCCCTCGCGGCCGCAAGCGAACGAACTTCGCGCCAAAAGTCACCCTGTCTCCTGTTCCAGACTCCCCACCCGATCTCTCATCATTCGGAAAAACAAAATCAAATATGATACAGGCACACCTTGTGCCACACCTTCAGCCACACTCCCCTCTCTCTGCTACAGTAACCGGGCCCACATGAGATTTATTTATAAATCTCATGTGGGCCTGGTTACTGTAGCAGAGAGATGAGAGTGTGGCTGAAAGTGTGGCACAAGTGTGCCTGTAGTGCCACTCAAAACAAAATCCCTAGCAATTAAAATTACGCGTCAAAATCCTACCGGCTGCCCGTACGGCGCTTCTCTCCGATTTGAAGAAGCTAAATCCATGTCCCCGCCACGTGGCAACACCCAACTGGCTGGGAGAAAAAAAACATTTCCTCTTTTACTCATCCCTCACCTTCTCGGATCTAGGGTTAGGGTTTCGTGATTCCTCCCCTATTCTCTCGAATCGAGATGATCGCGGTTTGTAATCTGCGAGGTCCCTGATCCGATCGATCGGCGATCGTGCGATCAATGGGCTGCGTCGGTTCCACTTCGAGAAAGCATGTCCCGGGCTATGAAGACCCCGTGATTCTCGCATCGGAGACTGCTTGTGAGTTCTCGATTTTGGGTTCTTTCAGTTAATTTGTGATCGATGCATGATCTTGTTTATGATTTTTGAATCAGTTGAGGATTTCACTTTCTGATCTGTGTGATTGTTGGGATGTATGCTGTATGTGATATTTTGAACTTTTACGATAAAGTACCTCTTACATGTGAAATTCATGTGAATTATCCAAGAGGGTCCAGCCGAGTTGGTAAGCTGCCTATGAGTAGTACGCCAAGTTCGTTCGACTCTCTTTGGAGCACCCATAGGAAATTAATTTCCTAGAATATTTGTGGCCGTGCATTGGGGTGCCCCTTGGTCACGCCCAGGGGTTTGATGCCCTAGGCCCGAAGGATCATTGAAAAGTTATCTTGTCAAACCCCCCAAGGAAAATGTAAATTTGCTTCGTCTCTTTGAATATATTCCCAAGTTATTTGGGCTAGAAGCACTTTGAATGTTCATCATTGGATCTGTTATGCTTGACAAAAACAACTGTTGTGCCTTAGTGTGTCCTTCGATTCTCATGGATTTGATAGATTTTCTCCTTTATTGTACGAGTAAGCATTTTTTTATTTTGGATACTGTCACGCCCCAGTTCTAAATGCAATAATTTAGAACATGACTTGGCTGACAATGTAACCATACGGTCACATTCACGTCTCTGGATCATCATGTATACAAATATATTGCGAAAAGAACTACTACATAGAGCATGTAACTAAGATAACAAAGAAAATAGATAGATAAAGAAATCTTTGAAAAGACAGAGTTCTACGATAAGTCCACAATTATCCAAAGTGGGAAAAAGGAAGATACATCATAGTCTGGAGAACCACATGTGATTACAGGAAAAGTCTAAAACAAATATCTGGCTAAATAAAATAAAGTTGAGAGAGTGATAGGTCAGAAGGTGATCACTGTCGATCGACCTGATCCTCAAAGTACTCTCGGTCTTGCGAAGAAAGAATTGTCCCCGAGTCTGGGGCACGCAAACCCCAGGGGAGTCAGAAAACTCCCAGCAAACATGTAAAATGAGAAAATTGTGCGCATGTAAGTGTATATGACAGGTATAAAGAAAAGATGAAATCTCAATTAAAGATGATAAATAAAATTGCAAATTGTAGATATCAAATAAGGTCCACCACAAAGCATATATCTTATACCCTGTACTAAAAGGAGTAAAGATTTAGAAACCCACAACACGGAGATGGGTATGTCGAGTGAATAATCCAAACAAGAAAACCCTCGCATATACCATATATCTCAAATTGTGAATCGTTAAATATTAACTCCAAAAATCCTATAAACAAGTAATAAAGAAGTACATCACCAACACCTTATCCAGGACATGTCGTGCATGTCAAATCTATCACACATATAGTCACATTATTCTTATTTTACATGTTGTTTGAATTAGAGGAGAATAGTATCATGCATATAAATCAGTCTTCTCGTAACACGTCCCGAGAATACAGCTTCAAGTCAGGTATTGGCCCTTGGCCCTTGTATATATATAACTCAAGATATCAAGAATGCGCATGAGCCCATTTATATACCTTATATATTCTCCGTCCAATTCCGTTTTATAAACCCCATATTTGTCGGTTTAATTTAAGTGACTGTGCATGAAATGTTATGGACTAACCACAGAGTTATTGTGGAACGGCTTTCGTAAAACTATAAAAAATAGTTGTGACCTAGAACATGTCCAATCAAGATGGATGCATCGTCTAGTCGATGCTATCATAGTAATAGCTAAGGAAAAATCTCATATCGGGATATCGATATTGAGAGCATAACCATGCTATGAAAGCACGCTTATATATCACATTTTTAATAAGAGTCGTCTTCATACACAGTCTCTCCCATTGGATGACAACTAGGTGGTCAAACAACAATTTTTCATAAAGTCATGCGTGTCAACCACAATATTTCCTAAAAAGTACAAATCAGTAATTCATATATCATATGGTCGACGTTACCAGGTCATGCTCTGATCCATAACTTAACATGATACTTACTCATGCATAGCCCACCTAGTAGATGTGGCTATGTGATCAAATAGGAGGTTGTATAATTCGTCAAACACAATACGATATCTAACAACATACTATACCAGTCACACAATGAACATTTATATCTACAACCTATGTTGATCACTCTACCTGTAAAGGGATTTGGGTGAGCTTGGTTGTGCTGTTCTTAGCGGTTGCTATCTTTACTTATTTGGAGGTAAAGACCCAATTAGAGGTTCATTGAGGAGAGTTGTGTTCTATAATGCTCAACCAACCAATAACAAGCTCACTCCTATATTTAATCCAGACATGCATAGAGAAAATCCACTTTAAATAAACACTTGGCTTTAGACGCTACCCATGAAGTGATGGGTAAGCTTCAAGATTCAGGAGTTGAATAATGAGTAGTATAGCAACAAATATTTTCTTTGTATATTTGGATTCATATATAATTCTTTTAGAGCTACAATATATCAAACATTGAATGCTTTATGAACCTTGAAACATTCCCTTACCCATAATCTCATATTTAGAATACTGACGTACGTTCCACTAATTCATCAAACGTATATATCCAATGAGATACAAGTAGTACCTAGATGCTTCCATGTTGTTTTCTAGGACAACACACCCTCTATTTCACATGTCACCCGTGTAGCACTGATCCCACATGTCATCATGTTGATGAATTTTAATAATGATGAATGGGAAACACATGCAACTGTTTAGATAAGATGCTGGCATGAGAAAGAAACTATATGAAGAAGTGACAGTAAGCTTCCTTAAACCAAAACTTAATCTTAATTATCCTTGTCAAAGCTCATCAATACTCCTAGAAGAAAATAACTTACCAATCTAAGTGGGTCCTTTTACAGAACATCGTGCACATATATTATAACAAATGTCCACGAAATTATTATTCCTATCTTTTCTAGAGACAAATGTACTTGTCCCATATAGCTTGAGTCCATATTCAGAAATAAATTTCTATATAGTTCCATAAGCTACGAGTGACCACAGACAACTAAATCAATTCAATGCGTGATTCGACCGACATTATCGCCAGCCAAAGATCAAATAAAAATGGTAAAATAGATTTAGAAAAATAAAATTTCTGGAATTTATAAAACAAGCAAGGAGATGAACACTTGCCGTATGAAAAATAAGTCAATCATGAAAAATAAAAGAGCTGAAGGAATGCTTGCCGATTATGAAAAAAATTAGGCGATCAATAAAAGAGTTAAAGGAATGCTTGCCAAAATTAAACTCTAAAATTTGAAATCCCTATCCATTCCTTCTCCTTGAATACCCTATTCTCCTCTCAATTAGCCAATCTCCCCTCCCTTTTTTCCTTTCTTTTTTTTTCTCTTTCTTTTTTCTTCCTCTCTCTCTCTCTCTCTCTCTCTCGTGAGAATCTTTTCTTGTGAGGAAAAATTTGAAAAAGGGTTTTTTTAAGAGAGATTAGTGGATGAGTTAGTTTTAAGTAGTGAAAAATTAGTTAGTGGGTTGGTGGGTTTTGTTAGGATTTGGTATAGTGGGGAGATTAGTTAGTGTATGAGAAGTGACCGAGATCTGCAAATATTGCCTTTGAGCCTATTATACAAAGTAGTATTCCTCCTAATGACATCCACCAACCCTTTCTTGTCTTCTTCAAGAATTTTAAACATAAAATATAGAGAAAGGGCTTGATAAATATGAGGATTCCAAAGGATGATGTTGTAATATAAAATGAAGTTTTAATCCTTATATTCTCAGGTAGGCTTGAGTTTCTTAATCTACTTACACTGTTCATATTGTAAATGAAATTTATGTTCATTGACAAAAAGTGCTTATACTCAATGTATAAGTTAAAATATAATATCTTACTAGGACTACTAACAAGAAAAAAAATATCTTGTAGGATTATTATATATTTCCTTTTCTTATTAGAGTTTCCTTGTTTAAAATTTTTAAAGATGAATAAGTATGAGGTATTACAGATACAAGGTTGTACTTTTCAGGATTTGATTCACGAGTTATACATGTATATGCATACATTCTTGGCTAGCAGAGATGAAACATTTCCACCTAGTGTCCTTCTAAAGAGAAAACATTGCAGTTAAGCTTTTTAGTTTTAACGAGTTCGTATCTTATTTAAGGACTTGATTTCTAAAATCCCACCGCAACCAAATGACTTCTTTTTTAGAAGGGCTTACATTTGAAGTAAAATCTGACCTATACTACTTAAGATATTACCTTGTAGATATGGTTTCCTTGAAATTACTAATTAATCAAATAAAATCCAAAAATCCACAAAGAAGATTAAATGTTGTTTATACCTTATGCAATAGGAAACTTAAATACTTATTTAAATCTTATCTGGTGGGGCATGTTGTGCAAACCCATGAAATTGCATAGAGGCGATGGATGAATCTAATCAGAAGAAATAGACACCCATGAGAAGTGAATACAATACCACGTAGAGGAACTACAATCTATGTTTCAACTCCAAGCCTGCAATATAAAGATGGTTTCCTTCTGCTCTCCACCTCCTAGATTTAGACATACAAATGTGCATTTTCAGCCTTATGCCTTATATCCACAAACGAACACACTCCAATGTCAATCACCTCCGTCCATATTCGGTTCGAGAAATATAATCAATAATCATGAATAGTTGATGTCAAGATGAGATTCCACAGGACCTTCTAAATCAATGACAATGCTCAGCATCGGAAGCTTATGAACGCATTCTATCTGACTGTTCATTCACGATATGAGTCAACAAGCGATTAAGTAAACAAACTCCCTTAAGCAGTTTATAACTTAAGGATCCATCATCAAAGACGCTGAACTCAAGAGCGGGTGCATCAGAGAGTAGAGCACACATCTTTTCTTTGAACATATGTGAATAATAAAACTCTGGAATACCATCAATATTGGTCTGGAAGACGCGCCAGACAATGGTTTTCCACAATTTTATTTTTTGTAGATGTTCGAAGAAAAGGTTCATGCACATCCTTTTTTTGATATTCTGTTCCTTGAATTATAGACCACTTGAGGAATTCGTTTATGTAATCGTTTCCTGAGTCATATCACGCATGAGCAAAACCTGATGGAGTGCGGCTGTGAGTGCTTGATGGTGAACATTGTCATCAATTTGGAAGGTTTTTTGAGATCTTGTTTGTCATTAAAAATTCATGATATTGATTATATTCTTGAATTGAAGATGGATGGAGGTGAATGACATTGGAAACTGATGTCTCTGTTTGTGGATAGAGTGAAGTGCACGTTCCCTTGTCCAAATTCAGGGAGGTGAAGGAAATAATGCTTATACTGCAGGGCATAGAGTTAAAATATTGATTTTGATTCCTTCGGATGGTACTGTATTTGATAGTTTAATTTTTTTCAGCACTTACATTCTCAGAAAAGCTAACATGCAAAAGGTGATGACAATGAAAAATAACTCCAGAAAATCTTAATTTAAATAGAAACTCTGCATCACCAAACTATTTTGTGGTCCATCTCTTCCAAACTATCGAAACATAGGTTGAGCCTTTAAGCGGACATATTTCTATCGGTTGGGCTATGTGCAGTAAAACAGTATGAGGCTACAATAGAAAACTACAAAGATAAATAAACTATAGCGGACACATTGGGTGATGGATGTTAAGGAGGGGATGGCGTCTGTATAGGAAAAACGAAGGTGAGGTTGGAGGAAACACGATGTCATTGATAAAGGAGCAATGTAATAGAGGATGATAATAGAGCCAATGTTAGTTAGGTAGAGGTGATGAGTAGCCAGAGTTTAGGTTGGCCATGTTGGAGAAGAGAGATCAAATAGGGGGAGAAAAAAAAAGATCTAAAGTGGTAAATTGGACATCGTTTGTTGGATCTTGGAGATCTTTTAGAAAATTTCTACTGCAAACCTTTTGGGAATAAAAGGAATAAGTGTGGTAGGGTAAAGGCGGTTTGTTACTTATACTATAATTGCTGGTTTGAAAATTGTATATAATTGGACAAAATATTCCATTTTAATGTGGGCAAAACCATTGACATACTTGCTTGGCTATTCAACTCAATATTATCTTGTGTGCTTAACTTAGTTAAGAGCTATGTTACCTTGGTACTTCTATCTGAAGCTGTACCGTACCGGACACGTATATCCATACCCAAACTCCTTGGATGCCCGTCACTGATATGTATACATTTATTCGGGCATGTACTCAAATTAAACAATATATATTTTACTTTAGAACATGTGTCATGCTTGTATTCTACACTTCATATCCACTTCTTGACACTCGTTGAATCTTTAACTATGATCTTAATGGGTTGGGTCTGGGCCTAGTTCAAAAATGAGCGATTTTGCAATTATAATCCACATAATAAAAGGAACATAAAAATGTTATGGAAACTTTAATTCTCATAACAAGTGAATAAAAAAATATTGATGTCAGTGTAAATTATTAATTTCAATATATATATATATATGTATATAAATATTTATAAAAAAATTATGTGTAAACTATTAATTTCAATATATAATATATACGAGTGTATAAAAATATACATAGTTATATCCCCGTACGCTATCTTTTATAAATTTGTCGTGTTTTGGACCAGTACTTGTATCTATTTCCGTGCAACATAGGTCAAGAATATGAGTAGTGTATCACATCATATCTCAAAATTTCCATGTTAAATGGAAGCTAGTTATGATGTTCCTTCATATACCTCGTTTACTTTTACTCGAAAATGGTGATGTCACAATATTCTATGTCTTCACTAATTAATTTCAGTAAAACTATCTTTAAAAAGAGAAGCATTTTGCATTTCTAATTTAGTTTTCCCTATAAGATGGTTCTGCATGAATAGTTGTAAGAGTCCACATGTCATTTGTCTATAACATTGTTGGTAGGAACCTCGTGCACAACTTATTACTGTGCTAATCTGTGTTATCTACGCACAAGGCACAATGCGGGGCATAAAGGTTCTTTACGCGCACCATGCGCAAGACGCGTAACGATACGCGCACCTCACTGAATTGAGGCACACAACTCAAACTAATATTTTTCAATATAAGACAAAGAAGCAACATGTTTATAAATTGTCACATAAAAAGACTAAGAAATATAATTTCACTTACTAAATCACGAAAGAGTCTTAATTAGCATGCATAACATAGAGAAGTTCATAAGTTTTCACAAATCACAAAGAGTCTTAATTAGCATGCATAACATAGAGAAGTTCATAAGTTTTCACAAATCACAATGCAAGATAATATCCAACGCATAACATAGAGAAGTTCATAAGTTTTCACAAATCACAATGCAAGATAATATCCAACATGAGCAAAAGTGTACGAAACAAAATAAACAAGTAGCAAAATAATAGTGTCTAGTCATCCTCATCATCATCGTCATCCAACTGATGTGGAATTTCCTCATCCTCAGTTTCGTCCTCTTCTTCACCGAACTCTTCTTCATTGAGTCCGACTCGCTCCTCCTAGATGACAAAGCAATACCACTTGAAGATCCTCGAACCCTAGCAGTAGATCTTAAAGTTGGTCCAAAATTTTCTTTAACTCCCCTTGCTTCGCCTACAACACCCCATCTAAGGTCATCCTCCTCATCCACCAAGTCATTCTCTTCATTGTTGCCCTCTCCAAATTGACCTAATAAACACTCGTTGCTTTCATCTATGTCAATCAACTTGATTGGATCAACAATATCCTTGCAGTCAAATCTTTCCTTCAAAGCTTGATTATATTTGCAATATACTAGATCCTACAATCTATTGTGATCCAACCTATTCCTCTTCTTGGTGTGTATCTGCAACTCATATAAAGTCAAATAATCAAATTAGTACTCGAAACCCTAAGAAGAAAAGGGTTTAATGGGAATATGCGGGTACCAGACCCGAAACCCGTTTAATTCAAAACAACCCAACTCACTGCGCACCATCAGTTGGAGCGCAGAGAGGGGGCGCGTTTGCTACAGGCCGTAGCGCCTGGCGCATGGGACACGCCTGGTGCGCGCGCCTCGATAACAATGGTGCTAATGATGTTCATGTATTCAAGGATTGGTTTTTCTTCTTATGACGCGAGAACCTACTCCCACTAATCCCATACCTTCCTTTAACATCACATTAGTGTACTTTGCTGCTTGTCTCCTTGCCAATGGTGATTAATTCGTCCTTAACAAGCAAACTGGGATATGGACTTACGCTCTCCTATATCAAGGATTCAAGATACATACTAAATGAAAGGTTATCAATCTCACATAATTTGTTTAGCATCTGTGGATGTTCCCTTTTTTATGTCCTAGGCATTTTTGCTTTACCTGTTGCCTTCTCAACCTAGTTGTGTTCAGTAATGCAACAAAATTTTCTTCTTTTACCCAATTTAGCTTCTTCCTTTTTCTAGCACAATTACTTTATTTTGTGCATGCGTTGAATTATGTTGAGGAACTTGAGATGGTTATCATGATGAATATGTGCATTGGGCAAATTGAAAGGTGAAGGAAAAATGTGATGCATTTTCTGTTGTGTCATCCCACTCCAAGAACCAGTCTTAAAATTCATTACTATAGCTTGATGACACAATTGCTGTGAAATCTTAAAATTCCACTTCTCAAGTTATTTTATTGTGCTCGATTTATATATGCGGTGTTGTACTGCAATTTTTTCCTTAATATATTCATATCAACTAATTGATTATTATGGTAAACAGTCCCCACCCAACACTGAAAAAGAAAAAAAAAATCTGAAATATTTATCGTTACTTCCATTCGAGTAGATTGTTCACATTTATTTATCATGCAGACACACGAGATGATTGTTATACAATTATACTTGGCGTATTTATAATAGATGTTTATCTCTCTCTTGGAACTTACTTGACAAATGTTTTATATAGATTTTATCTTTACTTAATCTGCAGTCAGTGTTAGTGAAGTTGAGGCACTGTTTGAGCTATTTAAGAGCATTAGCAGTTCTGTGATAGATGATGGGCTGATAAACAAGGTAATGCTCATATATACATCTTTGACACACGAGACCATAAAATGTTTTTCTTTCCTTCATTTTTGTTTTAAATTTCACAATGACCTTAAGGGTGCAAATCAGAGGTCTATGTCATTCAAGTTGATCGAGATCATATCATTTTAAGAGATCTGAAAAACCAAATATCAATTATATTTTATGGTTGAAAGTAGCAAATGCCCTAGGATGCATTGTAATCGTTTTCCTATGCATTTCATTGGTCAGTTTCAGTGTTGGACACTTGAATCTTGAGATTGCATGTTTCAGAAAATTTTAGGACCATTATGGAAAAATTCAGTTTGATCTTCTCTTTCTTGTCAGGAGCCATCTTCTAGTCAACATCAATGGGTACCACCCTATGTTGCCCAGGTTCTTCTATAATTAAGCCGTACCCATACCGGACACGTACCCGACACTTCGCGCACTCAAACTTCGTGGACGCTTCTTGAATATATTCATGCATTTATTACAACATGTACTCAATTATACTATATATGTGTTAATTTAAAACACTTGTCAAGCCACTTCTTGCACGTATAGCTTACACTTGACATCCATCTCTTGAAACAAGTTAGATATGAGTCGGGTTCATTTCAGTCCATACCCAAGTTCAAAACTATATAGTTAAAGGGTTGTTTGGATATCTAGTAATAAGATGAGTAGTTTCCAATTTATGATAATCAATATGATAAAAGAAACTTAAAAATATGATTGGAATTTTAATTCTAATGACACATGAAGCGGAAAAAAATAATCTCATGTACATTATATATATATATATATATATATAAATATAGTATTATACCTACATACTATCCACGCGGACCAGACGACGCAGCAGAAGAGAGAGAGTAGAATTATGTCAACTTAAGTGCGAGCACGCAAGTTTGTCGCACCAAAGTTTCTATCCACTCATTTATATATATAAAAAGGCCCTCATACATCGCACAGAGCATCCCTAGACAAATGAGTCGATAGAGAACATTTGGTGGAAGCATCCAACTTAGTTCACATAAGTTCTCTCCCCCCCCCCTCTCTCGCTTCTCTCTCTCTTCTATATGATATATATATATTAATATATATATATATACATATAGTATATATATATACTATATATATATATATATTAGCCCTGTCCCCGTACCTTACATTTTATAGTATTGCCATGTCCCGTACCTGTATTTACACCCATACCGGTACCCATACCTGTTTCCATGCAACTTAGGTACCACCTCGTCTGCTCTCAGTTACTGCTGTGTGTAGACCATATACTTTTTTCAACTTGTGCCTAATTCATGGACGGTGGTACCTGATGCTTATTATTCGTTATATATGGCTTTCTAAGCAAATCCAAAATTAATTTATTAAACTCGTGGAATTGTTGACACCTGATGCTTACTCTTCATTGTCAAGGACTGACATAGTTTTTTTTCCTTCCTTGTCAAGGACTGACACATATTTAATAGGAATATCAGTTCACAATCATTGCAGTACTGTGTGCCTTAATATGTTTGTAGTAGTAGTATGTCTCTGTATGCTGCATTCCTAGTATTCTATAGTGTTTTTTAAAGGTTTGATGACATGTCCACTCATTGTATCAGTTAGAACTTAGAATCTAAAATTTATAGTTGACTAGTAACTAGGTTTACTTGTCTGTATATCTTTTGTTGACAATATTCATTATATGAGCCACAAGAAGATAAGAATTTGAAACATTTATCTATTTTCGTTGTATGCAGGAAGAATTTCAGCTTGCCTTGTTTAAGAACAAGAGAAAGGAAAATCTTTTCGCAAACAGGGTACTACACAAATCCTGCCTCTCATCTTGTTACCATTTGCTATTGTAGTACACACAATTTTTATTGCATTTAATATCTTAATGTCAAGTCATCATTCAGTTAGTTTCAATTCCGTAGGATTAAGACAGAGTCTATTTCATTTTAGTTCTTATTAACTTATCTTTTCTGACTCATGTTACTGGATTCTATAAGGTCCTCCAGAAGTACCATACTTATTATGATTTGTGACAGCTATTGGTTTTATATCACCTTAGAAAGTCCTACAGTTCCACTTCCAGCTGCAAGTTAGCGGTCTTCTTGATGCATTTCAAGCGAAAAATCTAGGTCTGGTTTACCAATACTGAGTGTTTATAATCTTAAAATTTTCAAAACAATGAGTGGAAAAGTTTGTTTCTGTGGGGAGTTTCAAGTCTTATTTTTCTCTTCCAGTCATGGTAAATTTCATTGTAAGTACACCAAAAAACTGCTTAAGAACAAATAAAAAGGAAACACAGAATAATATTATTTTCTATATGAAACTGTCCAAGATGTTGAATGCTGTCAGGAGGAATTTTTTTGAACCAGAGGAGAGGTTGAACCATTGAAGGGAGAAAGAGATGATTCTTGTGTTCAGGATAAGTGCCATCAATCATAAATTTATACGGAAAAGTAGTGTTGTTGACCTCAGTATAATTGTTTGTATGCTTTCCGCCCTCCCACAACAAGGTTATTACAGTAAATAAAAATAAAAATTATTTGTACGCCTCAATTTTATTCTTCTACTACTTTACAAGTTTAACTACTAGTGCCTCCATAATTCTCTACTGGCATATCTAAACAAGAAAATAAATGGATCCGCCATGTTTAAATCTTTTTAGGAATTTGGAACATTTAACAATGTCCAATTTTTATCATTACACAGTAGAACATTTTTTTTTTCTATTGACACCTTATGTCATGTTTGCTCTTTATGTCTTTCTCCTTTTTGGCAGCTTCTCTCCATTTTCGTTCTTTCTGTTATTTTATTTATGTCACTTGGTAATATCCAAATCTCACTTACTCTGTGGCTTTATTTATGTGCATGTGCATGTATGCAAGCATTTGCAATTATTCATTCGCGTATTTTTGTGTTTGTGCTTGTACACTCTGAATATATGTGCATATGTATGTATGCAAGCATTTGCAGTTATTCATTCACATAGTTTTGGGTGTGCATTTGTGCACACCCGTCTTCTAAAGGAACAATATCTTTTGACATTTTGAATTCATATAAACACAGATCTTTGATATGTTTGATGTAAAGCAAAAGGGAGTCATTGATTTTGGTGACTTTGTTCGGGCACTGAATGTATTTCACCCGAGCGTCTCACAAGAAGAAAAAATTGATTGTAAGTTCCTAGAATTTTCTGAGTTTTCTGGCATATTGTCATAATACTATTATATGAGAGACTGAGATATCACATGATTTTGCAGTCTCATTCAAACTTCATGATTTGCATGGCACAGGCTTTATTGAGCGGAAAGAGGTAATATTTTACTTTTTTTGTTTATGGCTATTACAAATTATCCCGTAGTTGGGAACAATTTTTTGGATTTTTGGTTTAAGTAAATGCCTGGAAAGAAGCAGAAGCTCAAGCAGTCAACTTTAAGATGCTAACGTTCAAATACCCCCACTATAAGCAGCAACAATGCATAAAGGGGATAATATAGTTTGATGAAATAGAAGTGTTGTAACCGATCATCTACTGAATTGTGAGCGTGCAAGCTACAACATTACAAAATTTACCATTTTTCTGAAATTATTACGTGATACACTTTATACTACCAAAGCTGGTTATTAATTTTCAGTCCTGTTTTCATTCAGGAGACCTTCCATCTTTATCCATTTGAGTTAATTTCATGTATCTATGAGATTTGCTAGCTTTCTGCATATATATATATATATTATATATATATATATATATATATATATAATATATATATATATATATATATATATATATATATATATGAGAAAAATGGAGAAACTTGGTAATGATGTGGCCTAATCTTGTCCTACATCTACATTGAGTTGGTGAAGGGTGGTTGAGGCTCTATCTTCGATGTATGATGTAGGGCAAGATTATGCACATCACTACCAAGTTGCTTTAAGCAACTTTGGTACTAAGGTCTCCATTTCTGTCTCTTCTCTCTCTCTCTCTCTCTCTATATATATATATTATTATATATATATATAATATATATATTATATATATATATATGCAGTCATATCATTTGCATGTAACTCTTTATGGTGGTTCTTGATTTGTTGATAATATTACTATGTATCATGACAGCTGCACTTCTATTTTATAGGTCAAGCAAATGCTAATTGCACTTCTATCAGAATCTGAAATGAGATTATCTGATGAAACTGTTGAACTTATTCTGGATAAGGTAAATAACATTTTTTAATACATCGTCAGTTCACTTCAGTTTCAATTCTCTGGTTTACAAATCACCTGAGGCAATTATTTATTCTAAAATCATGTCCATCATGAACAGACATTTCAGGAGGCTGATGTAGACAAGGATGGAAAGATCGACAAATTAGAGTGGCACAACTTTGTTTCTCACAACCCATCACTGTTGAAGATAATGACTCTCCCATATCTCAGGCAAGTAGTATCCTCGAACTCTTTGACAAGCTAGTTTGTTTAGTTTGTAGTTGCAAATATCTCTGCATTCTTGCCTTGTTTAGTTCGTAGTTGTATAAGATATGCATAGCAAGGATCATGAATCAATCACACACATATATATGAGCACTTATAGGAGAGAACAACAAAATGTGAAGATCATGTACACTTTGAGAGACGCGTAAATTGAAAGTACAATGTCACAAAAACACTTAGACATTTCAAATTTCTCAAAGATGAGTTTAATTTAAAAGCTTTAGGTAAGGTGAAGAAGCTCAACACAACCATGTAAGTCATAGTAGATGTCTGTGAAAAAGGGTACAAAAGAGTCATCAAGTTTAGGCAACCATACAACCAATTTGTATCCTCCACTTCAGAACCATCTTTGGCGTTAGCAAGAAAAGTTGTTACTTATCTTTTCTGCATTAGGTAAGAAGGCCTACAGCATTTTAGAGTTCCACATTAGGAGAGCAAATACGGTTCATATCATGCACATAAGAGTGCAGGAAAGAAATCAACGGCAGCAACAACAACGTTCTTGACGACGACAACAACAACAAAACTTTTATCTAGAATCCTTGGAGCCAGCACACAAATTCTTCTTTTCTAGGTTTCTCGGGAACATAATCTCGAATGATCTCTGTTAAGGCTTCTCTATGTTAGCATCTATATTTTCTTTTAGTCGGCTTAATCCATGTTAATTCAGTTCTATCCTGTTAACAGTCCATGATACCGTCACTTCTAACATGTGCACAAGTGGTCCTCATCGCACATGAATAAATCATCTTGCTCTACCGTGTGCTATCCTCAATCGGAGCTAGTAGTTTCTTGTCCTACCTTTTAGCTTACCACAACTCGTCTTTTTCTGTACATAGAAACATGAAACTAGTAAGATCTTTAGTGTAAACTTTTGAACTAGGTCTCAAGGTCTCAAGCATATCAGGTAATTAAATTCAGTATAGGCCGTGATTGATTTTGACTCCCTTTCAAAAACTATTAATATGTGTGATGCATGTATGCCCCATATCAAAACCAATCTCATGTTTGTCAATTCCATTGAAACTTGTGGTGATCAATATATAGAAAATTTTCTACAATCAAATGAGAGGAAAACTTACAGTTTTTGGTTGCGCGGAGATCTTGAAATGTTTCTTGAGATATCTGTGTGTGACCTTATGACTAAACCCTGGGATCCCCTCCTTTCTGCAATTGGGTTACAATTTAGGCTGGAACTAAAGCATTGTTCACCTCTATAATTTGAGACTTGGGCCATGTACAATATTTGATGCATTAGCAAATACTTACTCAACTACTAGCTTTGTGTTAAAAGTCCCAACATAAATTGGATGTACAATATTGTTTATGGGTCAAACCCATCTCCTCCTCTGACGATTGAACTGATAATAATAATTTACTGTTTGAATTTTAGCATAATCCTTGTCCCTGTAGCTACATGAGTTTCTTCTTCATTTGATGCTATGCAATCAACAACCACCTTGTACTTTTATGAATAGTCAGGTTCAATAAAACACAAAAAGAAGGAAAATAGATCTGCTTGACTGTGATATTTACTAGTTCAAGGTATAATGTATGAACTCGTTTACAATGGCTAAAAATAAAATGTTCAGAAAACACAGTTTTATTATGCATACGGTCTGAGAATGAGTTATGATCAATCAAATTATGTGCTGATTAATTGGATCATGTGGAATTATGCAATTTTGGGTTTTTAACATATTACACACAAAAAAAATTCATGAAAAATTCTTAGGCGAGACCAACAGACATGCAATTGAACAATTAATAGCTAGTTAACTAAAATTCTAATCCATACATTAAAATTAATTAGGTACTACACCTAAACTAGAACTAAAGTTTCATGAATCAAAAATAAATCACTGATTGCTCTGTTGGGGAAAATGGCATTCGTCGGAGAGCTTCGTGGAGCATGGGAGAGCTTCATGGAGAGTCAGAGAATGTCGGAGATCATCGATGAGCTTCACCTAAAACCTACGTAGTTTCGGCTTGCATTGGAGTTATTGGGCGAATTCATCTTTTAGAATACAAATATACTAAATTACATTTACAAAGATGCCATGGTAGGTTTTTTGGCGCACACAAAAGTTGTACCCTAATACATTTAATTTCAATGTGCCAAGGTGCTACAACGCATTTTTATGCAGGATTTTGTCATCTTTCGTCGCTTTTCTCCTTGTCAATTTGGATTTTATCATATTTTCAAACTCATTCTTGAGATAAAGCTGTAAAAATCTTTATATGTTGGTTGAACTTTTCACAGCATTGTTTAATTTATTGTCGCTTATTTTCTTATGACGCAAAAAAACATCTTTGACTCGTTGCAGGGACATAACGACTACTTTTCCGAGTTTTGTGTTCAACTCAGAGGTTGATGACATTGCTACTTGACATTCACCTACCTACCCTTGTTTCTTCTTTTTTATTTTTGTGCGGGGGTAGTATGCAAAGCAAAAAACACGCCCAAAAAAAGTATAATCTAATTTTTGCTCGAATGATGTATGTATACTCAGCTCGTGTATTTGGAAAGAAGCATTGTTATGTTTTCTTTCATGTGGCAGGTTTTGTATGAAGCCTTCCATTTTGTTAAGTTGGTTAATAATAATAATAATAATAATATTGGTTTCTATGGGTAGTAATTAAACCATCATTATCGTATTCTTTGGAGTCTTCTGAAGAAGTCTCACCGTCTATCTTTACCTTGTTAGAATTGTTGTTCTTGCACGATAGGCTTTAATAAGGCGGTAAATTATCGGAGGATTTGCAAATAAAGTATTTTAGTCATTGTTCTTGTAATTTATTATAAAAGAATATTGATTTGCTTTTATGATGGCCGGGCGGTTTTAATTAAGCGCACAACGGATTACTAGCCAGATGCTTCTTGCTTTCTTGAATTCCTATTGGCATCAAGAATTTTCCATTATTTATTGGCTTTGAACCTTCGAAAATAAAACTTAATAAATGTCTCCAATAGCCTTTCATATCCGAAGGGTGGACACGTAGCATTTCATATTCACGCACCAGAGAGTACCTGCTTTCTCCGATAGCCTTGAATCTAAAGTAATTACTGAACAATGAGCAGAATTTAGCGGTAATGAGCAGGAAAAGTATAAGTGTATAACGATGGCAATAGGCTCCCTTTCGGCCACAAGAAAAGAAGGAAAAAAATTTATCATATACACAAATACACGCACACACTAGGTGGCAGCTCATTTGCTAAATGAGCTACTATGAGTTAAAAATAGTAAAGTCCATAACTTTTGATGTGACTAGCAAGGTGGGTCTCACCACATGACCATATCCTGGTAGCTCATTTAGCAAAATGAATCGTCACTTCATATACATTGCACACACGCTATCAAATTCATGATCTATACTGTACATCTTGTTCAAAATATCATCAAATGTATATGGTTAAATTTTCACATAATTTGAAAACTTCTTGAGTATAAAACAAACTAGTTGAATATATTAACTTTTCAGATAGCTTAACCGTCCTCCCTTTTGCACATAGCTAAAATAGGAGAAATTTTCAAAATAGATTTATTTATTCCCCAAAATCTACTCATTTCAAATTTATTTATGAAAATTGACTCAGTTTTGACCACGTTAGTAGCGCGGGCTGAAACTGGATACTTATGTAAAAAATGCTTCTTTTTAAAGAATTGGCATTGCTAATCCCAATTAATTAGATGCTAGTTTAATTACACGAGTCTATAGTGATGGCTAATACTAAGTTCAAAATAATCACGGTTACTAACCCCAACTAATTAATCGGGGTTGACAACCCTAACTAATTACCAAAAAAATGTTTTGACCTAGCTAAAAATAAGTAGATTTTTGTGAATATGTTTGAAATGGGGTGAATATAAAGTTATAAATGAGTCTGTTTTAAAAATTTCTACGGCTAAAATAATATGTACAAATTTTAAAACGATAAAATTTTTCTACATTAGACCATGATAAGTACAAAACACGATAGACAACACCAATCACGTTCTGAAATCTAATAGGTCATTTCACGATAAGAATCGCATCTTACCATATCATTTTATCACACAAACACACAAAGTAAAACTTCTATAAACTTAAGTGAATAAAAATATTTGTTCGCTAACTTTTTTATTCACTAGATTTGTTTTGAGATTTGTGCTAACATGTGACGAGCATGAATGCACACATCTCAAAGATACATTCATGTGTTACACAAATTTCAAAGCAAATCTAATAAATAGATGCACACATCTCAAAAATGCATTCACATCTTATACAAATCTCAAAACAAATTTAATAAATAAATGCACACATCTCAAAAATATCATTAATGTCTTACACAAATCTCAAAGCAAATCTAATAATAATAAAAAAAATAATGGACAAGTTTTTCAATCCACCGAAGTTTATTAGGGTTTTACTATATATATACTAGTCGTGAACACCGTGTAAAGCACGTCATTTAATTTTTTTTTCCTTGCTACAGTTATCCCAATTTTAATGCTACAGTAATTTTTTGAATCGTTACATATCCCTCCTCTGCTACAGTTTTTAAAAATGCTACAATATTCTTTTGTGATACCGTTTTTTTCAAAAAAAATGCTACAGTAACCTATATCCTATTTGCTACGGTGATAACGTTACAGTAAATGCTACTGTAGCATTTACTGTAACATGAACAATTATTCTTTTGATCCTCCTATTTTTATAAAGGATTTTAGATTTGAATTTGTTTGAGAGAGAGAAAAATGGAGGTGATGGGTTTTGGGGGGAGAGAGAGCAGATCATGGGAGGGAGAGAGAAAGTTGAGAGTGGAGGGTTTTTTTGCAAAAATACAACCACTAACTATTATCTATTCAAACGTAGATGGACGAATGAGATGATGCCACATAGGTACCAAGTTCCTTGGAGGAACTTGGTACGAAGTTCCTCCATTTTCCTCATATATATATATATATAAATGATCCGAAAATCCAACTTAATAAAGAAGAAAGAGAAGCTTAAAATGATTTCTCAATTAGATTTCAAATTAAAAAACCCTAAAAAGCTTTACTGTTAAAAATACTAAGTCACTTACTATTTTGAGATATGAAATATTCTAGAATCAAAAATAGGAATGAGAGAAGGTCTTGTAGTGTCGAATAGAGAAGATCCAATCTCTAGTTGAGCTCTGGCTAGCGTGTTCTTCGTTCCTATGTTTGGGTTCGGAGAAGAGAGAGAAACGAATGGGAACACGCTTGACTTGACAAACAGGACACCTGTCCATAAAAAAGGGAAACAAAACTCCTGGATATTTTTAGAAAGGTTTAATTATGGATATTGGGTTATCAAGTTCAAAAACCTTAAACACACATCTCAAAGATATCATTCATGTCTTGCACAAATCTCAAAACAAATCTAATAAATAAATAAAAAATTAGTGGACAAGTTTTTCAATCCACCTAAGTTTATAGGAGTTTAACTATATATATAGTAATTCTTATGTCAACTTAAATGGATAAGAAAAAATTGTCCACCAAACTTTTTAACCACACACATTACCTTAGGATCTTTCAGCAAGTAGACACTACTTTACAAAATAATCAATGCAAAGGACAATGCCGCGTTACATCGCTGAATCCCATCGCTGCAGTTTGCAAACAGTTGCAGCAACAGTAGTGTAACGCTGAAACATTTGGTATTACGACAAGTTGGCACCACTTTGCTCTTACCCAAGAACCTACTGAACAAGCCTCGAAAACTTCACAGAAGCAACCATGTTCTATGCACCCAGCAAACTCGAATCGTGCTTAAGCCATTCAGATACATTTGCCAACAGATTGACAACGTACAACAATGTAAATAAACGCGCAACATAGATAATTAACACGCAACATAGATAAGCCAAATGAATAGACTTACAAATTGTCGTATCATGAGTATCCAATGCGGATTGAATCATAAACAAATTCTGAGACCTATGATCGAAACAATTTTCCATTTCCAACAATTAGGCAGAGCACATTACACGCGCAGAAAAACAAGGTTAGAACCCGTTGAATTTGTTCACAGCTTAAAAATTTCGACTTCAGCTGATGATAACACCAGTACTCTATGCTCGTCAGCATATACAAATAAGAAATCCCATCACAACAAAAGAGCAAAGAGCAGTAAAAGAGATGATGTGCAACTATTAAAACACTGACAATAACGATAACAATGATGTTGTACAATTAAATAAGGTCATCTAGAAATAAAAACTTATCATATAATCTTTCCTGGATATTTGAAAGCATGCAAGCAACCAAACGCACAGAAAATCCTCTCCGAAGTTTCTGACACGCCTCTTTCTCATCGCAAACCTTATATGGCTGTTTCCTACCTTCATTTTGGCGGAACCATAATCAATGTCAAATGCAGTTCAGTCTCAAGTCAGCTGTCATGGCCAGTACTCAAGCTGCCATGAAAAACTAAACAAGTTGTCTTTGGGTAAGAGAACCAAAGAATTATACACCATAACTTTGATTGCATGACCCATAGGCAAATGACTCAGTTGTTATGTTTTGGTCTCAATTAAAAAACTTTCAGCTTTAAATAATATAATGTAATTTTTATAGAAACTATCTTATTTTAAATTGTCAGCAACCCTTGATAAAGTTGAGCCCTTATTTCTTTAACTAATGCATCATACTTTTACAGGACAAATTTTCATTTTCGACTATTTTTAAAACTTAATTATCAAATTCGATCAACTTTGCACTTATTTATCAATTTCAACCCAGTTTTAGCCACCTCTGGCTCAAAATTGGTAATTAAGTGCAAAGAATGTCGAAAACGCCAAGTAAATTTCAAAAATGGTCGAAAATGAAAATTTGTCCTACTTGGACTACTCCCTGAACAGCAGTAAACGTGATAAGTCAGCCGTAGACCTGGGTTAGTTTCATCCCAGCTACAGTATCTGCAAAATTAAAAGATTTCATTAAATTAACGAGTTAGTAGTGGATAGACCCCCTTTTGATTATATACTTGCAATTAGGATGCGACTACAGGCTACTAGTTTAGTGTTGCTGGAAAGTTGCTTATATTAGAAGTTCATAGAAGCAACCTATATAAGATACTAGAAATAGCCGTTTGGTAATCATATATCATAAGCTGCTTATGAAGCAAAAAAGGTGTTTGATAAAACTTCGCTTAAAGATCATTATAAGTGAAAATAACAAAATAGACATAGCTTTATCTATCAAACTAGACGAGATAAATTTAGGTAAGGTAATATGTCAACCTAAAGATACATATGACATAAAAACTATAAAAACTACAAAAATCACTAGGTGTTTTTAAACGCAACTCAGATTGCTTCTAAAAACACCCCCCCTCAAACAAGGGCAGTTCTTACCCTTCATGGTCAATTTGTTAAAAATCAAATTTCTCTTTTTCTAAGGGTAAAACTAAAGAAGGGTGGGGGATGGCTTTTTTTTTATGTTGGGTTAAGAGGGTTTTGGTTTTGTTGTGTTTTTTGTGGTGGTTTTGTTTTGTTTTGTTTTGTTTTGTTTTTTATTTTTATTTATTTTTATTTTATTTTTTTTTTGAATGCTAAGGGTAGTTGTACTACCATCCTGATGAACCATAGAAAGGCTGAATTGAGATCTACTGATCAACGAGCAGCCCTCAAAATGCAAAAAAGCTATTTTCCATCCATTTTTCTTTTTCTATTTTAGTTTTGTAAATATGAGAGTGGGAACATAGAGAAAACGACAAGAACCCTGCAATTACCATGAAAAAGAATATAATACTGATGGATTTAATTGAAAACCAGTTCACCCTGTCAACTTTATCATCCATAAGAAGCCATGGCCAATATTCAATGAATATTGACAACCTTATGAAACAGAAGAAAAAGAATCAACTAAAAAGGACAAAATTTTCATTTATATGATTGAAAGACAAAAAGGTTTCAGTCTTTTAAAGAAGAAAATATAGTCACGTACAAACTGCAAGTCTATATAAGGAGACGAACATGAGGAATGGCCACAACAAGAAGTATTTGCATCCCTACAATAAACTAGATGATTAATTAATTGTTTATTTCCAGTTTGATGGTAAGTAGCAACAGCTTATATTAATGGACATTACAAGGAAAAATAAGAAAAGCAGAAATTCTTGCCCAAAATAATTTTCGTGATGATGGAACTATAAGCCCTATAGAGAACTCTGATCAAACAAATATCAACTTAACAACACAGTCTAAAAACAAAGTGAAATACACTTTTGACAGCAAATAATACGAATACTTCAAAGCTAAATAACAAACCACTCACACATATGAACAGGAAAGATTTATGTTGTAAGGTTTTGCCATGTTCATCGACAAATTTGGATAAAGACATTTGATAAATATATATAATTACACTAACAACATAATAGTATATAACAATAAACCAGCCCTGGTGACATTTTTATCTAAGCAAAAGATAAACTTTTCACTTACTGGAATCCTAATGTCACATATGTTTATGCTTCACAATGTGCCTAAAGAAGCTAAAAAAAAAGATGGCTAAAACACAAAAAGCGAGAAAAAGAAACGAAGAGAAGACAAAATTCCAAATTTAATGATATGGGAAGAACAACTACCATCTACTAACTCATGAATTCCTTAGAATTCTCACTAGCAGTCGAGCAACAAAAGAAGATATTATGTTAGAAAATGTGATGGCAAGACACATAACTAGACAAACTCCGTCCGCAGAAATATGGCATCAAGATAATGACATATCATTCTCCCTAAACAGAATAGTACATCTTTCCATCACGGGCTTTCATTTCTTCAGTGGCCCTAACTAAAACCACTTTGAATTAAAGCACCATCATAACTTTGGTGCAAACATTCACATTCACCAGCAAACCCCAACTTGAATCTGAACCAAGCTTAAAAAAAATTCATTAACCAGACAAAACAACCCTTATATAGGGGTCAAACTGAAAACTGACAACGCCTTCATTGAAGTCTGTGCTTATCCCAGACCCCTTGCTACAATCCATTTTTTTACTGCTTTTTATCATCCTAAACCCAGTAGTAATCTATAGAATTCAAATAAAGTCATTTGGTAATCAGTCTGTTTGATGTGGTAAAACGCACAGATATAATTCGGTATAATTCGCCAGGAAAGAAATCTCTTGAACCATAAACAACATATTTTGTGATCACTTTATGCCCAATAAAGTACCAAAGTTCTAAAAAACCTCAGTCAACCGCTTGTCTTAAATGTGTCACATCCATATTTAACTACTATGCCTTCCTCAAATTCAAGACAACATGAAGAATGAATTACAAATTTCCAGAAGATTTTAACTTCCTTCAAACCAAGAAAAATAAAGAGTATGGTTAAGAATCACACTATCGTATGGTTATCCATCATACTCCATGTTTTAACACAGGGCACCGATGTGCTCTTAAGTCACAACCTTAGAGTCCTTTTAAACAAGTCCACAACTCAAAGGACAGATCTGCATTGCTTATAAATAACCTACTGAACCAGGATTCAAGCAGATTTAAATGCATTGTGTAAAATAACTCAAGAGAAAGCAAAGGTACAGTAAAAAGCCTACAGAGCGTCCTGCTGTCTCTTTCAATTACAAATCCTGCTTATTCTCGGGAGAAGAGGTTTTTTCATGAGCCAATAGAAGTTTCCTGTTGAGCACGAGCATGCAAATGACAAGTTATTCATGTTGAAACTTATTCATAAACTAGTCATCCATAAGGCTGGTCAAATTCCATAAAATCTCACTCATGTCACTTGTAATAAACTTAAAAAGTGCACGATCCATCACGTGGATGTCTCAATAAACATAGAAGAAACGAAGTTCTCATACTGTCATACATACTACACCGGGTTTGCTTGATATTCTTAACGCTGACCAGATGACTCAAACTTTCTTACACCGAGATAATTTAAGTAGTCTATCACTGGATAAATCGCCCAGACAAGTATAAAGTTCTTTTGACTTCATAAACTCAACTCCAGTGATTTCTCCCTCATCAATAAACAGGTTGTGCATATTGCATTGTCCTCTCTTTTCCAAGCTTGTAGGGCACAATAAGACGCTTCAATTTTTCTTTTCCAAAGCCTACACCATCCTCCTGAGATCTCAAATCTGTTAGAGACAAATTCATATGTCATGGACAAGCATCATGCCCACAATCCAAACCGATACGAAAAAACAGTTCAGGCCTTCATTAGACCGACTATAATAGCAGAATCTATAACTATTAATAACTGCAGAATCAACACTAGCATAAGAGCACATGGCTTTCAGTTTTTACAAGAACAAGGGAGTACCTGCAATTTACAAGTAGGCAGCATGAATAGAATCTTAAAGTGGTTCTACTTCTATTCATCTAAAATCATTGAATCCAAAATCAATTTTTCTCCTTGAAATGCTGAATTAGAACATGAAGGGATAATACAATAATGTTTTTACTTAATTAATTATTCTATAGTTTATATATAGAAAATTATATAATTAAACAGATTTTCCATTTGATTAATGATTTGATTCGCTTACTAATAATAATTTAAAATCTAAAATCGATTAGGAGACTATTTCTTTATAAGACGATCAAGGTTTTAAATGTCGTTTATTGGGGATTTATCGGACGGTCAAAATCCATATCGGATAGCAGAAATCCGAGATATATCGGGGATAAGTAGTATTTATTGGAGTGCATATCGAGGGGTGTACATGCATAATATAATGTCCTAAGATACAATTTGAATAACATACAAGCAAATAACAATTGATAAACTAATCAAATGTAGAAACTTGATGAAATATAAACATACCAAAATGTAAATGCACATGTTTAAGATCAATAATCAAATGTAAATACACATGTTTAATATCAATAATCAAATGTAAATACACATGTTTAAGATTGCTAACCGATAATTTTTACAACTAAACTCGGCCGATTTATCAGCTTATTGCCAATAATTACCCCAAAACGATAACCGATTAAAATTTGAATTCATCATAGCGGAAGGGCCCAAAAACCGATAAATCGCCAATAATATCAATTTATCCGCCAATATTTAAAACCTTGAAGAAGATGTATGAGTCTGTTATTTGAATGTTTCATTACAAAATTCAATGTGAGAATCATCATCAGTTGAGAGAGAGAGAGAGAGAGAGGGCTACGGCCACATATCAGGACTCCAAGTCTCTCAAGGAAAGCAAATAATCTAGACTAAAAAATTTGAAGGAAGATGAGAAGTATAAAACCAATTTAAATCAAATAACGTAAAAGCATTGAGGAAAAGAAACAATAATTGGTAAACAAACAAATAAAACATGTAAATGCTCATATTTTTAATCGGGCTTGAGTGGGAAAAACAAATTTTTTTGGCGGGGGGTGGGGGAGTAAAAATATTTGTTTTTTCTTAAATAATCAATATAATATATTTTAAACAAATAGTTAAATGAACAATTACCGAACTAGATGAAAAAATGTGCACCTTAATAGTATGAACCAGAGCCCCTGCCACCTAAGTACCCATTGCCACTAGAGCTACGACCAGAATACAGGGAGGAATAGGAGCTACCACCAACCTGCAGAGACAAAAGCATATGCCAGGAGATAAGAATATTTCTAGATCATAACCGAAGCAACAAAAATAAGCTTTACATCATATTCTTGTGGAGGATAGTTGCTACTATAGCTTGATGAATACATTCCACCAACATCCCTACCGCTAGCAGAACCTATAAAAAAACAGAAAACAAACAAAAAAGAATCAATAAAAAGGTTAAATAAACAATAGTAACTGACTGACACAAACAAATAAGAAAATTTTATATATACCTCTACCATAACTCATGCCCTGACGGCTGCTGTACAGTCCATCTTGAGCAGAAAGAGAACTGCGACCACTTCCATATCCCATATGAGAGGGTCCAAACCTACACAGCATCAACAATTATTAATATAAATCTGAATTCATATGGGGAAAACTTAAATGCTGCTTCAAAAATAATAATGAAGCATTATATTTCCAGATAAATTTATTAAACAGACCTGTCTCCATAAGCATCGTCATATTGGGCACTGCTGCCGCCAACACCATATTCCAAACGAGCCCTTGAGTGGCGCATGCTCACATCAACATATCGAGGAGGCACATCATCCTTGAAGGCAATAAACATTAAATTGACATGAACGTCAAAATAAATAGGTCTTTATTGTAGGAATAAAAAGGGAAAGTAAAAAACAAATAGTCACCAATTCCGAGTATGGGCGCTTGGATCCTGAAAATGAATCATAGTTTCGGCTGGGTCCTTCTCGATAAGTCGGAGGAGGCCTTTCAGGTTTTCGCCCATAACCGTCTTCTACGTACGCTCTCCTATCTGGACCTCGAGGATCACTACGGGGTGGGATGTCAGAGTACTCATCCCTGTAAGCTGAGCGTCTCTCGATAGGTATTCTAGGTGGATATTCAGTAACAGCTCTATTTCTTGGAGGAGGTTCATCTCGCCTACTGTGCTCCCTTCTCGTGCTACTTTTAGGATATACAGGAACTATCAACAGAAAGGGGAAAAAAGATTAAGCAAAATATGAACTACCCTGGCAAAGAAGTAAAACTTATAGCTGATCAATGAACAAGGAAAATGAACAAGGAAATTCACCTGGTGGCCTCCTATCATAGGACCTCTCTGGTGGAGGCAAACGTCGAGGCCTCTCATCCACAGCCATAAAAGGGCGCTTCCCTCTGAATGGAATAGGACGCTTAAATCCACGACCACCTGTTAGTGCACCACGAGTACTAAAAATAGGTCTGATACCCCGTCCTGGGAACCTATGAGGTGGAGGACGACTATAAGAGATGCGACCGCCTCTGGAAAAACCTCGACCGATCCTACTCTCCCCCCAATTGTCACGGTTTCCTGTACCTTTCTGGTGAGGTCTTGACAATCTAGCCCTTACTTTAACCTATGCATGGAATTATAAACCCAAGTAGAAAGGCAGAACTTTACAATGCACTCCACATGTAATGGAACAAGAATAATGAAACATCAAAGCATAGAGACAAACCTTGTGGTCTCCTTCTCCCAACTCCTTGTTGTTTATGGCTTCAGCACATGTAACAGCATTGTCATGCGTGTCGAAAGTGACAAACCCAAAGTCCTTCCTCTTAGCAGAAGGCATATTCCGAGCAAGCTCAATACTCTCAACTAGACCATATTTCTTTAGATAGTCCTTAACGCGGTCTTCATCCCATGTAGCAGGCAAACCATCAATAAAGATGGTTTTGACCTGAAATTTTAAATGTAAATTTGTACGTAACAATTAGATAGATTCTAAGCTATGAAAAACAAACCAGGTAAAACAATAGCATATTTAATGGTCATCGTATATCTAGTGGAGCCTCAATTTGGAACTAATTTCGCTACCTACAGAGAGGAGATACATGCTAAGCTAATTCAAAACAGGAGGTTGGAAAGAAGAAGAACAAAAAAAATTCCATAACCACATTAGTGGACATGCTCTTCACCTGAGCCATGATCTCATCATCTGGTTCAATAAAAGAATCAGCAAAAGAAACCTTTGCATTTCTCTCAGTACCAAGAAAAACATCCCTCCTTTGCAAGCGTCTGAAAGCTTCCATTGCTTCAGAACGCGATGAAAATTCCAAAAACGCAAAACCACGATTCATTCCGTCACTATTTGTATCTTCAACCAGGCTCAAGTCCTCAAGATTCTCGATTCCAAAATTCTTCAATTTCTCCTTCAACTAAATAGATCAAAGAAAAATTGGTTATAGGTAATTTGTTGAAAGGGGCTTGCTAAAAGAAACTGCAGCTTTAATGTGTTTGTCCACTTACATGTTCCTTGGTCCAAGTCTTGCATATGTTCCCAACAAAGAGTGTGTCACTGTCTCGACAGGGGGCAACACCACACTGTTTACCATTCACCTAATTAAGGCAATTAATTGATCATTATAATGTCCACAGAAGAAACTTCTCTCAGTGAACGCTAAAAAGCGATAGTTGGATTAAAGCAAAACACAAACCACTGGGGTCTTTAGCTCCGAAACAGCACGTTTTGCTTGTTCAACGGCTGCAAAATGCAAAAAAGCGAATCCTTTATTTTTCTTTGTCAGAGGATTCATCATGAGCCTAACTTCAGTGATTTCGCCAATTGCACTGAACACTTTCCTGAGATCATCTTCAGTTGCATCTTTATCTAAGCCACCAACAAATATTTCAAATTCCTTCCGTTTGCGATGTTCCTTTACAACCTCATGGTGTTCTTGCCCCTCACCATCAACCTCATTTTCTTCCTCTTCACCATCCACATATTCTTCACCCTCAGCATCCTCTCCACCATCATCCATTTCTTGGTCTGCGACCTCAGCTTCTTCCTCGTCGCCAATGTCTCCTTCACCATCTTCCTCAGCTGCCTCCTCCACCAACTCCTGCTCACCATGCTCCACTTCTTGTTCTCCATAGTCTACTGCAGTCTCTTCCTCAACTTCATACTCAGGTTCATCTTCGAGCTCTAACCTCTCACCTCTATCTTCTTCTTCGTGAGGCTCCTTCACATCCCCTATGTCTATATTTGGAACAAATTCAATATAAGGACGAAAGTTCCTCTATCAAGCCGAACACGAGCCAACGGGCAATAGTATAAATTGATTTTTTCTTCCATAAAATATTATTATGTGCTAAAAGAAGAAATGACAATGCATGAACTTAATGAATTATGAAAAGAAAGGGCATATCAAACTCAATAATACTTCCTTAAAATCAGACAAGTAAATGACTGAAAACACCAAGAAGGTCGTAATATCACTTCATCCAGAGAATATATATTGCTTGAATTTGCACACATAAGGGATTACAGTGAAAATATAATCCTTGACAAAAAAACATAAGAATTAAAGAGAAACAATGTCAACCCAAAAAGTTGTCAGAGAGTAAAGAGAAATATAAGAAAGATAAAAAAACTGATTTTTTTTTGCCATATTAGAGCCTTATTTATTTATTATCAGGCCCCCAAATCTCAAGATTTCTAATTTACAGTTCTGAATCTCTTAAGTTGCCCCGCTTATTAGATTGCACCCACAATTGTTACCATAGTATGATTAACTAATCCAATTAATAGATTTGGCTTATCATCTAGAAATATGAAGATTTAGGGGTATTTTATACTAAGCCCCAAACCTGTCAGATGGTAAAGAAAAATAAAGAAAAGGGCTTTTGCAATAATGAAGCCTAATTTTTTTCTTATTTTTATATTACGCTGCAAATCTTCAAATTTCTAATTTACACCTCTTAAGTTGTTCTAAATAAAACCCCCAACTCCGGATTTCATCCATAATCATTACCATACTATGGTTAATACACGTAATCAATAGAGTTGCGCCTTATATAAAATTAAGAAAGATGTTACGGCCAAACTCTACGTTTAAAAGGTGTTATTTATAACAATTTCCTATATCTTGAGTGTAAGTTATAAATATGAAGCTTAAAGAATTTAGGGTCTAATGTAATGTAAAACCCTAAAGTAAAAAAGAAACATGCAAAGGAGAAACATTTAACTTAGGCAGGAAAATTTGGGATGAGAAAATCATATCTAAAACAAATATCGGCAAACAATTAGCAACAATCAAGTAATTAATTAAGCAAAATGCAACACTACGGGGAAGAAAAAAAAACAAATTTCACTAAAAACAAAGCAAAGCCCTACTAATTTTACATCTAACGATAAAAAAAACTTTACCTTCCGCATTTACAGAGCTCTTGGCCTCTGATTCCTCAACCGAGGGTTTCCCCTCCTCGATCCCGACCTCTTCGGCCTTCATTTCTTCCTTCGCCTCAGTCACCGTCTCTTCATCCACCTTCACCGTCTCCTCTTCCATCTTCACAGTCTCCTCCGCCTCCGTCGAGGCGGGGCGGCCTTCGCTCCTTTCGCCGCCCTCGCCTTCGCTCCCCTCTTCACCGCCCGAGGAGGCATCTCGAGATCGCGATGATCCGAAACCCTAGAATTCGAAAACTGGAAACTGAAATTGAGAGAGATTAAAGCAAAAGACCCGCACTTTGAGACCCGCGTAATAACGGAGCAAAGAGCCCTAGATCCTGCTGTATTTATATAGGAAAACGAAAGAGAAAATTAGGAACGTCGGTTGTGGAAAGGGGGCACCGGAGAGGGGGATATTACGGAACTACCCATGTAGAGATGACCGATATTTCAGTTAAGGGCCTGTTCGTTTGTTTTCTAAAAACCAAGAAATGGAAATGGTGAAAATCTCAAAACTCACCATTTCCTCCATTTCCATCCTTAAAACTCACCCACAACATCTAATAAAATATTATTTTCATCCAATAACTCATCCACATCATCTAATAAAATATGATTTTCATCTAACCACTCATCCATCACATCTAATAAAATATTATTTTCATCTAACAACTCATCCATCACATCTAATAAAATATTATTTTCATCCAAACATCACTCAACTCATCTCTTCTCATCATTTCAAATCACTCACATCATCCAATAAAATATTATAACAATTCACCTCATCTCATTAACATTTCATTTCTTCATTTTCATCCCAAAAAGTTATGAAAACACTTTTCTTAATCTTTCTTCACATCACCCAATAATACAATGACAACTCATCTCATCTCATTTCATTTCTTATTTTTAAGAATGAACCGAACAAAAGAAACAAGAAACTACAGGAAATATGTTTCTTATAATTCATTTCCTTTTTTTTTTCACCAACCGAACACTCCAAAACTAGTTTTCTTAAAAAATCACAAACATCATCCAATAATAAGGTGACAACTAACATCATTTCAATTTTATTTCTTTGATTTCCTTCTTTTTTTAGCCAACCAAACACTCCAAAAATAATTCTTCATTTTAATAGTTTTCCATTTCTTTGATTTCCCTCTTTTTTTTAGGCAAACGAACAGGCCCTAAGGGTCTGTTTGTTTGCTCAAAAAAATGAGAAATGTGTTGCCACCTCAACTTTTAAGAAATTACCCATGTACCACATGTGTTTTTGTTTTCAAGAGGTTTCCATTTCAAGTGTTTGTTTCGTTTTTAATTTTTAAGAAATGAAGTGCCACGTAGGATGTCACCTCACATTTTTAAGAAATGTGTTTTCACAACAAAATGGGCTGAAAACACTTGGAAATGTCCCATCTGAGAATTATTAATTAGTAAAAGCATTGTTTATGAGGTTATGAAGAATAAAACATATTATTTAAATTGGTTTTCTCTCTTTTTATTTTTTTTTCTCAAACAAACAAAAGAAATGGAAATGTCCAACACTGTTACTATGGAGGCTTTTTTTTGTTTTTTGTGTGACTTGGCAGTGAAAATGGAGGTTTTCTTTGCGAAACAAACAAAAGAAAAGAAAACTGTGAAATGTCTTGAAATGTCATAAAAGCATTTGAAATGTGGCATTTCCATTTTTTTTTTTTTTTGGGAAATAGCCAAACAGGCCCACAGATATTATTGAGTTGACGATCAATACCATAAAAAAACTTTATTTTTTTTATTTTTATTCTATTTTTATTAATTTAAATAATCATGATATTTAACCATGTGCACTAAACCATAAATCTGCATGATACAAGTATTGTCGCACTCTCTCTCATGCATGCACGAATTTAATGTGCAATATTGCACAAAGCCCTCTCAAACTCATTCTCATTAAAACCTATACAATTTACATGTATGTATATATATGATATCTTTTTGAATGAAAACCTTAGTTCAATGATTTGTATCTTGTTTTTTTGTAAAACTTGTCTCTTAATACAAATGACAGGGTATATCCATTGTTTTTGCTAAAAAAAATGATTCGTCTCTCCTATCTCTGGCTTCTGAGGCTGCAAATTCTTGTGCACTTTTGCCCAAAAGCATCTCAGCTCTTAATTTGTATGTTACATGCTCCCATCACATATATCTATACTGTATCGTAATCATAGTAGTTATACTCACTCTAAGTATGAAAATTACAAATAAGACCCTAGAATATGAAATCATTTCATTTTCTTCCTTTAAAAGAGCGAATTTTTGGGGAGAATTTTTTATTATTGATTCATTTCATTAAGATTTATTTAATTCAAACCATGTATCAAACATATGGATAGAATTTAAAAATTCAAAAGGATTGAATAATAAAATTACATTTATGTATCAACTGGGTGATAATAGATTGTTTGCATCCTTAACAATAGTAAATAATGAATAATTTTAGAAAAGAATTTTATTTGATATACAACATTGACTTTCAATCAACCAATGCTACCTATATATAGATGACAGTAGACGGCCTATTTAATCATAATCATCTAATATAAATGCAATTAAAATAGTAGCATCAATTTTTTTTTCTTTAGTCCTACATATTTCTATCTCTTCAAAACAATTAATAGTTATGCAACAAATAATAGAGATACTATAAATATCTCTCTTTATAATTGGATATTTTGAGCTTTAATGGTTCCAAATTTCTTTCTAGCGGTAAGCTACTTATAACTATTACGAGCGTGAGATTTTCTGATTACATGTCTATAAAATTCATCGAATCAAAGTAAATTGCAAGATTTTAAAAAATTGCGAAGATAGTACAGAATTTTTTAGAAGGCAAAGAACCAAAGAATCATACTCTTAAAACAGCCGTTCTATCTTTGATAAAATCAATTGCAGATGAAACCAAAGGCGAAAACCATGAGACTATAACTAAAAAGAAACAGATTTGTCTTTACAGATATGGATCAGCTTTAATTGATATTTCATGTAGAGTTTATTTCTGATTAGGCTCCACTAAGTTTCTTATTAAAATAAAATTTAAATGTTGCGCGCGTAGATCCACTGAAGTTGACTTATCATAGGCTAAAAACAATGACATATAGAACTATTGATTCACCAAAGCCTTTTTTGAATCATTTGCTACCCGTGTTTTTAGTAAGTTGTCTGCATTTACGGCTTGTCCCGATGCACGGCAACGAGAAGGGTCTGCTAACCAACAACTTGTTCTTCCTTCTTTACCATCTAAATTAAAGTTTTCAAGTACGAAATTTAGTAAATGCTATTCTGGGAAAGGTATTTTTGGTAGTTGTTAATAAAAATGAAGATATTATAAACACATTTTTCTATGTTAGGCCTAAGAACAAATGACCATGTTAATGAAACACAATAACTGAGTGGCACAGATGCACTTGGTTAGGAAATTGATAAAACATATACCGGAGCAAGCATGAAGGAGGTAATTTTTTAATAAAAAAGAAAGTAAAACAAGATGTATTCTATGACATAAACAGATGTAACAAACTTAACAGCATACTCTCAAAGGAACAATTAGCAAAATCAACTACCAGATTGCCTATTGACGTTACCAAGAACTAGTGCCAACCCAGAGCTAGGTCCTGCTCCAGAACCCTATATGGAAGATAAAAAATGAGCAAGGTGTTACTATGATAAATAAAAAGAAATCAAAATAAATGAAAACATTTCTGCAAGAAATTAATAAGCCTATATATGCAAGACTTACAAGAGGTCATGAAGGAGTGCTAGCAATTTGTGATTGGTGATACTTCAATATGGTCCAATCAAACATATATTCAAATAGAAATCTTATAGATTAAGATTCAACATCATTCAACATCTTGCTTGAGAAATTACAGATATCTAAACCTATCATCAGCACAGAATTCCTCATCAACATGAACAGTATGAGTTACCAGAATAGCTTCTCCTCACGAATAAAAAGGTCACAGAATATTCTTGTAAGTTATAAATAATCAGGTTTGTCGTCAAACCGTAGTGAACGGTAGTAGTGGAAGTTGGATGCAAATTATGTAGGATATTCACGGCATAATGCCTGAAGATAACATGTTAATGTTGTCATGATTAAAAATATATATATCTATTTAGTTATTATTAAGAAAAGTATGAAAAGATGTCGTCAAGGTTCCCAACTTTATTATGTGAAATAGATCTTACCTCAATAGAGGTGGTAACTGTTGTTTTATTAATTTTTTAATATTTCTGATTCTTTGTTCCAGCTTTTAGACCTTGTCAGGGAAGACTGGAAACAATAAGAAAAATAAATTTTCGTTACACCATACTATGGACAAAGCTACTAAAAATAAAGTTGAGATAGACACCAGATCTTCCTTATAAAAAATACGTGAGAACAAATCCTAGAGATTCCAGATCATCCCTCCTGCTTTGTTCATAAGATTCTAATGTACATAAGTCAAGCATATAAAATATGATAAGTAGCTGCCAACCTCAGCAAGGTGTAAAAGAAAACTAAAATATGTTAGGAAGTGTTTGAAGAAATTAATATTAGAATACATACCTATACCAAGGTGGATGTTCATGCTTGCATACCTCGCATTCCCAGTCAAGTTCTTATTCTCTCTGCAACACATGAATTTAGGTAAACAAACACTTGCATAAAAGCACATGTACAAGCTTTTTTTGGGTAGCAATATATAGTCAATCTATAAAATGTACACAAAAACACAACAAGCAATTTTGTATTTTTCCAAATATATTATGTCTGCTATTTGCATTATATGGGAAATAAAATATAACTAAAAGAAAATTTAGCACAAATATTATACAATCATTTAGGACCACTTCGCTTTGCAATAAACACAGGTTGTAATTGAATGCTTTAAAATGCTATTAAAATTTATAATATAAATTTCAATATCTAATTATAAAACATTTACAATACCTATAAGGTGTGTGTTGGTGCTTTCAAGTATCCCTATACTTGAAGTATCCCTATACTTCTTAGCAAGGTCAAAATCTATAATGTAAATCTATATGAAAATGCAAAAAATAAATAGTCAAAAGTGTATACTTTTAATCACAAATGAAAGGAAACAAAATAGTATATTTAACTTTACAAAAGCAT